TAAACACACATTAGTTTGGGATTAATGATCCTCGATAAAAGGTTAAGGTAATCAAAACAGTGATGACGTAAATTCCTTTCAACGAATCATCACTTTCAATTTGAGAAACGATACAATTGAAGCTCCATATTTGTGATTAAAGAATACGCTTTATATATTTTCATTTTTTGCTCACAAAAAGAAAACAATTGATGTACGTATTTTATTACAAGTTTGGGAAACCAGAGGGCACTTAAACTCATACATACGCAAATCTTTAACAGCGGGAGCATTCACAACCAAATTTAATAAATTATTATTACCCCAGCCAAAGGGCGGGGGTATTGTTTACACTTCTTTTTGTGTTATCAATTGCACATGAACTATGTAACTCCAAACTATGATACAAGGGTTAAGCATCCTCAAGGCAAATGAAGGTCAAAGGTCAAGGTTACATTGAAAGTCAACTACATAATTTGAAAACTTTTGATCATCGGTAAACTGTCCTCAAGAATCAATTGATTAATTTTTGTGAATATAGATCAAGGTCAAATTGAAGGTCGATTTATTTCGTTACAAGGTAGCAAATGAGGATTTGATTAATGAGATAAAAGAGAACGTTGATACCAAGGCCTACCCCTTTGAAAGTGGGGAATTCTTAGGTGTAAATTTTATTTTGGTTACTGCAAAAGCAAACAACATTGCGTGGCGAAATTGCACCTTCTCTACGTGAATTACTAGTTTCCTATTACAACTATGTTAAAACTCAAGCTGAACAGCCTTCTACTTTCCTATTACAACTATGTTAAAACTTAACCTGAACAGCCTTCAAGTTTCCTATTACAACTATGTTAAAACTCAAGCTGAACAGCATTCTAGTTTTCTATTACAACTATGTTAAAATTCAAGCTGAACAGCCTTCTAGTTTCCTATTGCCACTATTTTAAAACTCAAGCTGAACAGCATACTAGTTTCCTATTACAACTATATTAAAACTCAACCTAAACAGCCTTCTGATTTCCTATTGAAACTATTATAAAACTCAATCTGAACAGCCTTCTAGTTCCCTATTAGAACTATGTTAAAACTCAGCCTGGACAGCCTTCTAATTTACTATTACAACTACGTTAAAACTCAAGCTGAACAGCCTTCTAGTTTTCTATTGTAACTATTATAAAATTCAACCTGAACAGCCTTCTAGTTTCCTTTTACAACTATGTTAAAATTGAACCTGAACAGCCTTCTAGTTTCCTTTTACAACTATGTTAAAACTCAATCTGGATAACGTTCTAGTTTCCCATTACAACTGTTTCAAACTCAAGCTGGACAGTCTTCTAGTTTCCTATTACAACTATATTAAAACGTAACCTAAACAGCCTTCTGATTTCTTATTGAAACTATTATAAAACTCAATCTGAACAGCCTTCTAGTTCCCTATTAGAACTATGTTAAAACTCAACCTGGACAGCCTTCTAATTTCCTATTACAACTATATTAAAACTCAACCTGAACAGCCTTGTAATTTCCTATTACAACTATATTAAAACTCAACCTGAACAGCCTTGTAATTTCCTATTACAACTATGTTAAAACTCAACATGAACAGCCTTGTAATTTCCTATTACAACTATGTTAAAACTCAAGCTGAACAGCCTTCTAGTTTCCTATTACAACTATTTTAAAACTCAACCTGAACAGCCTTCTAGTTTCCTATTACAACTATGTTAAAACTCAACCTGAACGTTCTAGTTTCCCTATTACAACTGTTTAAACTCAACCTGGACAGCCTTCTAGTTTCCTATTACAACTATTTAAAACTCAACCTGAACAGCCTTCTAGTTTCCTATTACAACTATGTTAAAACTCTCAACCTGAACAGCCTTCTACTTTCCTATGACAACTATATTAAAACTCAACCTGAACAGCCTTCTAATTTCCTATTACAACTATGTTAAAACTCCAACTGAACAGCCTTCTGGTTTCTTTTTTTTTTTGTTTTATTATTATTATCAATGTTCTTTATTAAAATTTAGCGGTTTTCTCGAGTTAAAGAAATAACATGCCAAGCAAGGTATAACAGTAAATTAAGATTATACACTTATTGTCCAGGCTTGTTCTTGTGATTAGAGCGATCTGCGAGCAGCGGGATCCAAACCCGCCACTTTCACACTCCTGATAATGACGCAGTTAGACGTCGAAACATGTACAGTGTTCCAAGTCTTTTCATCTTTGTACAGTAAAGTGTAGGTAAAACAAGTTTTTTTTTTGTATTCTATGACTGGGAACAGACTAATTTTTAAAGATATTTGTTGAGTATTATTAAACGTTGTTTTCTTTAATACGTCTATGTGTCGTCTTAATCGTAGTTAACCATGTAATTATATTTCCCTAACAACTATTTCAAACATTTCTTTCTTCTTCATATTTTATCACATTGTTGTTCGAACAACTCTATTATCTCATAAAGTTAGTTCAACACCATACATTAATTTTGAAAGTCTGTATTTCATATAGTTATGTGAATGACTTGTACATTTTAGGAAATTATTTTCAAATTCTACAGAAAAATTATGATCATGATTTTGAAACTGGTTTTTTTCAAGCTTTTTTTTATGAAAAACAATTTAACAGTCATTTTAGCCCTCCACTGGCTCATCGGTAAGTATCACAGCTTACAACGCTAAAATTCGGTTTTCGATACCCGCGGTGGGCAGAACACAGATAGCCCATCCTGTAAGCGTGTGTGCTTAATACCAAACAAACATATAAATCTTACAGTTTCTGTGTGGCTCATATAAGCCTTCTAGTAACGTTAAAATGATCCCCCAGAAAAACGTTAGTTTAAAGAGATAAAAGAAGCCGAAATAAACAATGTTAATAAATAAAAAATTCTACTTATTGGAACTACATACAAACGAGAATTTCTAACGAAGCAGAAATATTTAATTCGTAACAAATGTGTAATGTAAGATCACATTACGGTACTGATTCACCCATGAAAAGGCCCGGCATGGCCAGGTAGTTAGGGCACTCGACTCGCAATCTGAGGGTCGCGGGTTCGAATACCCGTCACACCAATCATGCTCGCCCTTTCAGCCGTGGGGGCGTTATAATGTGACGGTCAATACCACTATTCGTTGGTAAAAGATTAGCCCAAGAGTTGGCGGTGGGTGGTGATGACTAGCTGCCTTCCCTCTAGTCTTACACTGCTAAATTAGGGACGGCTAGCGCAGATAGCCCTCGTGTAGCTTTGCGCGAAATTCAAAAACAAACAAACCCATGAAAAGTATAGTTCTCGGAAATGTCACATCTGACGGTTTTCAAAGTCCAAATGCCGCTATTCACTGTTATTATTTCAGGCATAACTCGACATTATGTAACTTTCGTACATTTCGGTTTAGTGTTTATTGAACGTATAATAAACTCACAGAGATGGCTGAATTAAAGTTGGCGTCATTCTCTAATAGTAAAATATTTTTGGTGCATTCTTTCTAACAAATATTTACCTGTGTAACAATTATATTCTTTAATCATGTGCACGTCTTTGTTCATTCTATTTATGAGTTAGCCAGTCTGTTTTGCATAAGGAAGTCAAGAATTTTAGGACAATCAAAATTCTTTTCATTTTATTATTTCTATAAAAGTTAAAGTCAACTCTCACATTTCAACATGCGTGAAATTAACTACAATGAGTTTAATTTAGTTACTATCTGTCCTCAATACACACAATAATCTACGCTTAATCACGACACGTTACCCAGTTTGAATATAGGCTCCAGGTTTTAGTGTTATCTTCCAAGAACCCTTCGTTTAACTAACGTGGTGCCACCACCTTATATGGTTGGATTCCATCTGTCTTAGCACCGAGTGACAAGCATCGTTAGTAGCGGCTTTTAACAACAATAAAAAATTATAACTGAATATGTACATTATGTAATGTTACTGTTGAACATTTGTTTTTGAACCAGTTTTGAATGGGAGGTTTGTTTACAACAACATTGGTCTTATTATTATATCATTTCATTTATACAAAAGGGTTTACTGATAAGGGCTTCTTCCTTATACAACATACAGCGTATGGTAAATTAAAGTTTCTTTAACGATTTATAAAAAAAACAACATATTTTGCCAAAGTATCTGATGAACGACTTAGCTAAGCTACGAACAGTAAAGACTATGTGAAGACATTACTTTCTTTTCCAAAGACTAAGACCAGGCGTGAACTAGTGGTTAGCGTATTGGGCTACGTACGGTATGGTCCGGTGTTCGAGATTTCGTGCCGCTGAACAAGCTCCGAACTTTATAAAAGTGACAGTCAATCCCGTTATTCGTTTCAAAAGTGTGGATAAAACCCTTGAGGGGTCCTTCCCCCTGGGCGATAGTTCAGAAACATGGACGTCCATACCGGAAACTTTTGGGTCTCAGACTTACAGGTTTAGTCCACGTGCGCATAAAGTACTGTTCAAATTGAAAATTTTGATTCCTGTTTTCACAAAAGACTAGGTCCTTTCCAACTAAAATTTTAGAAGAGGCAAAAATATTCAGACCATTTGTATCAGTAAAAGTTGTTGGTGTATCCTTTATCATTTTTAGCCGCGGCAAAGCGGCTCATAGAACGACAATGAGTTTTTTGTTGTTGTTTTTTCAAGTACAAACTTTTAGCTCATAGTTCCGTCATCCATTGACCGATTTAAGATCTAATTACAGTTTTGGACTCAAGAGGTCAAACCCTTTCGATTGATGTATTTGACCACGCCCAAGGTCTCATAGATTAATTTAACTCTAATCCTCCCTCTAATCCTCGAATCGGGTATACACGCCCCCCACGCTTGGTATTGCTGGCGCACAAAAATGTAGCCCATAAAAAGGGAGAAAGGTAGATTAATTTACTCTAGTCCTGCCTGAAAGAATTTAAAGTGCCTCGGCTATTGAGGGTTCCCTCTTGTTATTGTTTATAGAATGAATAGATATAGATTTTTCAGATTGTCCATCTGTGACCATTAGGAAGGAATTCCACTTACCGCTCGGGATGCGTCTCCAAAGTCAATTCCTAACTGACCCATCGCCCTGATGATGGCCACCAGACTTTGAATGGTGTTACTGTGAACCACTGGTTTATACTGGAGACATTCCTCCTCCGTGTAACCCATCTCATGAATGATTCTGAGTGGAAAGATATTGAGGATCGGAGATCTTAATGTCGCCAAGCACATTTACTATGTCGTATACAGTTTTATTATTATTTATGCTATCAGAAATCATACCCTTATAATAGTGCTATTATTACAGTATTCTTTATAGTAGATATTAAAATTAGGGTAGACTACATAATAAGTTTATAAGGTATGAATAACTACAGAAGTGATGAAAACAAAGACAACCGTACGTTTCACAAATAATTCATTTATTTCAACCACGGTCTCGTTTTGAGGATCAAATCAACTTAAGCTCCTCCTTAACTGCCTCAGGGTGAATCTCAAGATTACTTCCGGTTCTTTGATTTTCGATGACGAGGAACTCATTTTGAAACTAATAATGGTTGGAGACGGCTTGGATTGGTAATGAAGAAAAAACTTTAATATAAGCTTAACATAACAGCAAATGTAAAACGTTTCGACAAGGTTTTGTCATCATCAGGTCATCATTCAAGCCGTCTCCAACCATTATTCCGGTTCTTTGGTTAAACATATGTATACAAGCTATTTCAGTCTGTACTTAATGATGCCTTTACTGGAGACAATGGTCGTAATAAATGAAGTATTTATGAAACGTCCAAACGCCTTTATCTTACTTAATTCTGTAATTTCACCAGGTACCGATGGTTTCAAGTTTTAACTATGTATGAATATCTATTAAAGAAACAGGTGGAACATGCCGGCCTGTTCCTTTTCAGTCTGAATCAAAATTTGAAATCATTCACAGATAAAACAAATCAAACTACAGAAGCATATTATAATATACAACATTAAGTATGTTAGAACATCATTATTAAACAAAACGACATTCAAAGATCGATTTACGACTCACTGAGGGGATGAATTGTCAATGTTCGGTAAATGTTTCATATAAAACAGTTTATGTTTTGTTTCTGAATTTAGAGCAAAGCTACACGAGAGCTATCTGCGCTAGCCGTCCCTACTTTAGCAGTGTAAGACTAGAGGGAAGGCAGCTAGTCATCACCACCCACCGCCAACTCTTGGGCTACTCTTTTACCAACGAATAGTGGGATTGACCGTCACATTATAACGCCCCCACGGCTGAAAGGGGCGAGCATGTTTGGTGTGAGAGGGATTCGAACCCGCGATCCTCAGATTGCGAGTCGAGTGCCTTAACCACCTGGCCATGCCGGGCCCTTAAAACAGTTTATAAGCCATAAAAAGCTACGTAAATTTTTAGGACTTGTATCTAAACTAATATCATACATATAATAAACATAAGACGACACTTACTTCATCTGTTTGACGATTGTGCTTTTCCCAGACTCTCCGGCTCCTGCAGAAGGAGATAAAGATATGGCAAATAAAGAACAAACGAACATTTGCAAGTGGTAAAACCTATTGCTGTGTGATTTACACATCTCCGTCCACGATACACAGTTATTTTGAATTTCTTAGTTAAAACGGTATATTGACTTAGCCATGCTAACAAGTGGGATACTTTTAACTTCTGATATATGTAAGTAACTGCTGTGCTCATAGGTTAATTATTTTGATATTTACCTGTTCCAGTATATATACATAGTATTGTATCACACACCGTATTGACTAACGTATATATATACCAATACAAAAAGATGAGACCAGTGTTCGCGTTAATTCCGGGCTCTATTGCTAACACCATCAAATTTAGGCCTAATCTAATTGTTTAGACCCCATTCATAAAACATATCGAGATTTTGGTTCCTTAGGCAACGTTCCAAGATGTCACAGAACAGTTGAACTAGATCCAGGTAGAGTTCTGGTATATTCAAGACAGATTCGGGATTGCATTTTTCTCATATCATAGCATTCAGTATGGATGGTGCACTATTAAGCCTAAGGAGGCTTGGGCCTAACAGAAAGAATTCCACAAACATATAAAATCCGAAATTGTCCAAGATTGTAAGTTGTGACGGGTGGGCCTGATCGAACTACGGTTCGTCTACCGAGCACCTAGAACCACCCAATCAGAGTCTGCATGGTGGTTTTCACGTCTGAAAACGTCATACGTAGCATTGTTTCTTTTCTTTTTGCTTCCCTGTAACTTGTCTCCATGAGTTTCTACACCTCCTTCCAGTCCGTCGTAACTCCAGATCCATCCAAACTTTTGTGAATGGTTACGCCACTTATTCGTGGGTTATATTAAAACATTTTTGGAGCCTAGCCAAGTCGTTAAAGTCCATGTTCCTATGTCCGGTCATACTCTATCTGACTACCATGATCTTTACAATAGCCTTGCAGTGTAGTTTCCATTTCAAAATACACTGTAGTAAGGGGGTCTCCTTTTAGGGATTGTTTGCTTGTTTGTTTCGGATATTCGTGCAGATCTACATAAGGGCTATTTGTCTTAGTTGTCCCTAATTTTTAACTGATAGACTAGATTGCAGTGGCTCTCAAGCTTTATTATTGTTGGTAGACCACCTGAATTTGCGAGGAAGGGAGGGCTCTACGAACCACACAATAACAATGTAGTTTTAAAAAATAAATAATATAAGCGTATAAAAATCCCTATTATATTAACCATATCTTACACAGGTGTGAAGTACCAAATGGCGTCAGAAAACTGACCCTCTTTGTCTGCAAGTTCTGAATACTCTCCAGTTCTTTGAATCCAAAACTCTAATATGGAATTTCTTTTGCTTATGACTACAAACAGTTTTCTGGAATGTTAGAGCATTTTCTTTGCTGTGGCTTAATAAAAGAGTGTTTGGATAAACTGTATATATTGAACTCACATTTAGTGACAGAGAAACTTGAACAGTTTAACACTTTTACTGTTACTAACCAGGACAAAAGAAAAGAAAGGGGATAAAATCTGGAACAATCCCAGTTTTACTGGGGCGACTGGCAACTCTACGTCACGAAGTTGTAAACAAAAGCGTCTGTCAGAAAATTAGTCATATTTCATAGAGTTGGTAGTCGTTAATTTTCACAATAACTACGTCGATATCTACAAAGTGATAGATTGAAAAATTACATTCTTTCTTAATACATTTTAATACAGTGAGCTAGTAGTCTTTAAGT